AGCCCCAGGAGCTGCAGGTGAAGGATCCCTGGAGCCCCAAGAGCTGCAGGTGAAGGATCCCTGGAGCCCCAAGAACTGCAGGTGAAGGATCCCTGGAGCCGGCACAGGGGTTGGGAGCAGAGTCCTTGTCTCTTAAGCTCATTATCCCTCGCCCGGTGTCGGAATAACGAGATCAGGAATTGACACCAGCCTGGAAACCACACACACACCACACCCCACACACCCCCCCCGAGCCCCTAAATCCCATCAGGGTCCCCTAAATCCCATCAGGGTCCCCTAAATCCCATCAGGGTCCCCCTAAATCCCATCGGCACCGTCCCTCCGGGAGCCGCCGCAGCCCCTCCGGGCGCGGGGGGTTGGGAGGAGCAGCACGGGCACCCACCTGCAGCCGGGAACCGAGGCCGGGGAAGCGGCTTTGGCACCGAATTCGGGATATTCCATGGCCGCCGGCGTCCAAAGTGCAGCCGGTGACGAGCCCCGGGCCCGGCCCCTCTCACCTGGATCTGGGTGGGAACGGCGAGCTCTGGGCGCAGCTCCCGGCTCGGGGAGACCTTTGGATGGGCGGCGAGGGCCGGCAGGGCATCATCATCCCAGGGCCGGGACGTGCCAGCACCACCGAGGGACAGGGCACCGTCCCCACCATCCGGCCTGGCACGGGCGGGGAGCAGGTGGTGGAAAACCGCGGGGGCTCGGACGCGGCCGGGGCTGGCACCGGGCTCGATCCCAGCCGGGCCGGGAAGAGGATCCTGCTTTTTCTTTCCAAGCTCAGAAACCAGGGAGAGGCTTCGCCCTTCCCACCCCGGCTCCGCTCCCGTTCGGGGGGCTCTGGCAGCGTTTTGGGGTGTGGGGGGAGAGAGCCGGGAGGAAGCAGGTGAGCCAGGCCCGGCTGGGTAATCTCCCAGGAATGCCTCCCTCCTTCTGGAAAGGCTCCAAGCTCGCAGATAAAGGGGCTGGAGCCGGGATCACATTCCTGTGTGGGAAAGCAACACCCAAGCCGGGCTGGAAACACGGCCCCGGGAGGGGATTTCACCGCAAACCACAGGGAAGGAGCGGGGCTAAAAATAGGCCGGGTTTTGTCCCCGGGGCCACAAAACACCCGGGTCCTG